CTAGAAGGAGTAATTACCGGGTAAATAGATTGAATCATTATCCTATGCTGATAACCCATTTATGTTCAATATCGGAAGATTTGACAATTTTTCTTCCTCTTTATTTTTTTTTTTACACAGATGTTGGCTCCAGGGGTGAACAATATCACAGCTGTGACAGAATTTGTCCTCCTAGGGTTCCCCACCCATGGGACCATGGCCTTCTTGCACCCACTGTTCTTCTCCCTGGTCTACCTGTGTGCCCTGCTGGGGAACGGGCTCATCGTCCTCATCAGCACCCTGGACCGGCACCTCCACAACCCCATGTACTTCTTCCTAAGGAGTCCGTGCTTCATGGACCTCTGCCTCCTCTCAGCCATGGTCCCCAAGTCCATTGCCAGCTCTCTGATGCACAGCAGGTCCATCTCGGTCCTGGGCTGTGTCCTCCAGGTCTTCATGATGGTTATTTGAGCAGCTACAGAGCTTCACCTGCTCACGGTGATGAGCCTCGACTGCTATGCTGCCATCTGCCACCCCTGCACTATGACGTCATCATGAGCAGGTGTGTGCAGCTGACAGCTGTGTCCTGGCTGGGTGGGTGGTCTCTATGCTGTGATGCATACAGTTGGAACTTTCTCCTTGTCCTTCTGTGGGTCCAACGTGGTCCACCAGTTCTTCTGTGATGTTGTCCCCCAGTTACTGGCTATTTCTTGCTCAGGAAATCTAATGAATTAACTTGTCCCCATTCTCATTACTTTAATGTTGAACATCTGCTATTTCATTTCTATCATTTCCTATGTCCACATCTTCTCTGTTGTCAGGAAGATCCATCCCCAGAATGTAGGGCCAAAGTCTACTCCATGTGCCTTCCCCACTTGCTGGTTTTGGTGCGGTTTCTCTCCACTGGATGCTTTGCTCACACAAAGCCAGCTTCAGAGACTCCATACATGTCTGACCTGGTCATTTCTATGTTCTACACGGTAGTGACCCCCTACTTTTAATCCTGTCATATACAGTCTGAGCAACCAAGCCATGAAGACGGCTGTGAGACTCAGCAGGGGAGACTCAGCAAAATGTAAGAGAGAATTTGACTTCATGACTCCATTATGAGACATATATTGTAAGTTTTCACATTATATGCCTGGGCCCCTTGGGGAGGCCCGTGAGCTTGCGGGCCTGCGCCTGGTGGACACCGTGGCTGGAGTCCCGGGTGCATGAGGTCGCTCAGGTGGCTCAGATGCACAGGGGGCCCCCTGTACTCCGACAGGAAGCCCCGCGGGTGAACACAGCACAGCCAGGGAGAGTGTCCCCCGAGGATGAAGCTCCGCCCGGCGAGCTGTGGCCAGCCCAGCGTGGGCCCCGAGGGCGTCAGGGCCGCAGGGGCGCCCTCCCCACCCCGCACCCACGCCTCACGCTGCCCCTGGACTCTTGTTGCCTTCCCTGGGCAGCCTCACCCCGGCCGTGGGGGACCCGGGGTGGGAGGCGCCTTCGCACTCCCTGAGTCCGTTTCTCCGGGCTGTGCCGAGCGCCCCTTTTATTCATGCTGTGGCACAGCCCGGACACAGCTCCGCGTGTAGGAATATAAACCCGCGTCCAAGTGACCAAAATATCATTTTCATTAAGTATATTTAGGTGATATGGCTATTTAGCACGATAAATCTCTTGATGCAATAACATTTCTGGACTCTTAGGGACTAAAGAGAATCATTACATCTCAGAAAAACTAATATATTGAACACAAATATAGTTTCTTTGCTGATTTTAATAAAATGGCTAAAGATCATGAAATATTTTCATTAAATAAAAGAAGTATGATCCATCAACAAAAGGAAATTGTAACTGATCAAATGGGGAAAGGCATTTGCAAATTATATATTTGATAAGACATAATTTCCAAAAACATTAACAACTCATACACCCAGTAGCAAAGCCTCAAAAATCAGACTGAAAAACAGGGAGAAGATCTGAACAGTCATGGCCAACAGGCCCTTCAGAAAGTGCTTGGCATCACCCATCCCCAGGGAACACAGTCAAATCACAAGGCAACCGCAGTCAGCTGGGAGTCAGGGGATGTGGGGAGAAGGGAGCGCCTGGCACTGCTGGTGAAGGTACAGATCAGTGCCCTCATGTGGAAAGCTGTGGAGGCTTCTTTTAAAAATTAAGATCATAAATGTTACATGACCTGGTTATTCCACTCTACAGATACACACATATTGGACAACAAAGATACACAAACTCCTGAGTCAGTGCAACACATAAATGAAATAAATAGTAGAAAAATCCACACACAAAAAAAATGAGAGCTTTTCTGTGAAAGATAGGCAAGCCCTTAGTGAGACTGGGGGGGAGGGAGGGGAAATACAGGAGCTGAATAAAATAAAAAATAAAAGGGGGATTGCAGCCTTTACCACAGAAATAAAAAAGAGAAGAATGGCTGATTGTGAATAATTACATATCGTGCAATCTGGCAGGAATGCCTGAGTCCCCGAAGCATGCTTTGTGCCAACATAGAATAATGGAAAATTGGACCAGACAAGCCAATTAAGAGACCATGTGATGGAAGCACTAATTAGGAAGTTCCCCAAGAGGAATGAAAACCAAGTGCAATTAAGGGAAACGGTTCTCGAAATGACTAAGGTGGCAGCAGAAAGCAGCCTTGGAGACACCTGGCTTTGCAAAGTGGTGGCAGGGGGTGGGTTATCCACAATAGAGATCTTCATTGAAAAGAGACTCTATCTTGAAGACCCTGGTTGCATCTCAAGATCTTTTACAAAATTCAAGTGAGCAGCTTTAGATTAAATTGGTATGATAACGGGTAGAGGTCCTTTATGGAAAAACTGACTCCTTTAAAAACGAGTATTCAAGACCTTTCAAATCCTCTGCATCCCTTCCCAGGGAAGCTCAGCTGCGCACCAGCTCTGCCCATGTGCAGACTCCCCTGCCAACGTCCCACCTCCAATTATGAACTGAGAGACTAGTGTTGCACAGGGAGTGTGAGAAGCTTCTGATTTGAAAGTAAAGGGAAAAGTAGCTTGATATAAATTGACAGAAGAAATCCAGTGGAAACTATGTGTAGCAGTGAACAGAAGAAAAAGGCTTAGAAAGGTGTATTCATATTCTTTGTCACTTCAAAGTGGGGAATTTAGCTTTTCCCTTTGAGTTGTACGAGATCCTTATACATTATATATTAATCATTTATCAAATATATGGTTTGCAAACTTTTCTCCCACTCCCTGGAAGCCTTTACATTCTGCTGTTGCTGCTCCCTTTGCCATGCAGAAACTTTGTACTTTCATGTAGCCCGGTATGTTTATTTATTTATTTTTTTCTTGTGGATTGTGCTTTTGGTAGCACTTTCCAAAGATCATTTCCAGCACCAATGTAAAGAATGCTTTCCCGTGTTTCCTCTAGGATTGTTACAATTCCACCTCTTATGTTTAGTGTTTTATTCATTTGAGCTGACTTTTATGTACAATTTGAGATTAGAGTCCAATTTTTTCTATTGATTGTGGATGTTGTGTTGTGCAACACCACACTGATGAAGACATAGGAGTCATGGAACAGGCTGCACAAGGCAGGATGCTGCTGAGAGCAAGATCCTGGCTGTTTTTATTGATAGAATAATCTTAAAGCATCAGCCACTTGTATTAGGAGGACAAGGAAAAAAGGATGGGTGAAACTCAGGAATGCTATCTAGGGCTTGGGGGACATGAGTCTGCTGACCATGTTATCACCTTGATGACCAAGTGTTGTCATTGAAACTAGACCCCAGGACCCCTGAGCACGGTGCTAATCTTATCAACAAGGCATTACACTGATCAGTTTCTGGGATCCCTTGTCATATATCGGTTCTTGCACCCCCCTTCCCTGGTGTTCCCAGTCATACCTCATGATGCATGAGTTGGGAGTAAGTTCATGCATCTGGCCTCAGTCCCCTGGGCATTCCCAGTCATACCTCTTGATGCATACCCTACCCAGAGTGATCAAGCTTTCTGCTCTTGATTGACAGGAAAGACACCTTGTAAGGTTTGGCTCATATGACTATGACAGGACAGTTCTGACCTTTGTATAGGGCTTCATCATTATTAGTATTAAGAAGAGCAGAGGGGATGTCTTGGACTGGGAGGTTACAGGTAAGGAGTCAGAAATGATATTAAGTGACTGTGAAGGAAATAACGAAAGAGCCAAAATAGCATCTGCTAGTTCAGTGCGTGGGGCCGAAGGGGCAGGTGCGGGGCTGGCAGTAGGTTGTGGGGCAGCTGCCTGGGTGCTGGACCATGACTCCACTGCCTGGGGCGGAGGCACCCTCTATGAGGATGGGGAAAGCCTGGGGATGGGAGAACTGACCACAACATTGAAGGAATGACGAGGGAGAAGATGTGGGGATAAATTCGTTTATCGGGTGGGTGGAAGAAAAGAACGATCCATCATAATCTTGGACAACAATCTGAAATTGCTGTGACTGAGCGAGGAGCCATTCTGTGTCCTGCTTGGCTTGCAGAGGCCTGTGGAAATAGAGCCGGGATCACAGCCAGATAAGGACTAACAAAGAAAATGGTCTTTTTGTAATAAGGAACATCTTTGAGAAAAATAAGTAGATAAGCTATTTTTTTGGCTGGGAGGGAAGGAAAAGCCATTCAATCATGTGAAAAGGTGAGGTTACAGTTTTTCCATTTATTGACGAGACTATTATTTCCCCATGGTGTATTTTACTGGAAATCCAATAAGGCAAGAAAAAAAAAAAATAAAGGAATCCAACATCAGAAAAGAAGAATTAAAACTGTGTCTCTTTGCAGACAGAATAGCCATTTATAAAAAGGCAGCCAAGAAACCCCCTCAAAAGACAGAACTGACAAACTCAGGAAGGTTCCCGGATACAAAGCCAACTTATAAAAAATAGTTATGTTTCTAATACTAATAATCCAAAAGAAAGAAAACAATTCCCTTTAGACAAGCCTCAAAAAGAATAAATATTGAGGAAGATGTTTAACCAAAGTTTTAGTGTCTGCTAAAAACTGCAGAAACTCCCGGCTCGTCAAGTTGCCGTGGCGCGGAGAAGTCTGCAAAACAAGAGGCTGCGGGCTGCGTTAGCGAGAAACCAGTTCTCACCGGAGCCCGCGGGAGGAGGCCCATGGGAGCCGCCGCTCGGCAGGACTCTGAGGAAAAGCTGCCCCAGGTCGCGCCGCCGTCAGCATGGCAAGGGAGACCTCAACAAGCCGCGGGACAAGATGTCCTCGTGCGCCTTCTTCGTGCAGACCTGCCGCGAGGAGCACAAGAAGCAGCGCCCGGACTCGCCCATGAACTTGGCCGAGTTCTCCAAGAAGTGCTCGGAGAGCTGGAAGGCCATGTCCGCGAAGGGGAGGTCCAAGTTCGAGGACATGGCCAAGAGCGACACGGCCCGCTACGACCGGGAGATGAAGAACCACGTGCCGCCCAAGGGCGACAAGAAGGGGAAGAAGAAGGACCCCAACGCCCCCAAAAGGCCACCGTCCGCCTTCTTCCTGTTCTGCTCCGAGCATCGCCCCAAGATCAAAAGTGAGCACCCCGGCCTGTCCATCGGGGACACGGCCAGGAAGCGGGGCCAGATGTGGTCCGAGCAGTCCGCCGAGGAGGAGCAGCCGTCCGAGCAGAAGGCGGCCGAGCTGAAGGAGAAGTGTGCGAAGGACATTGCTGCACCGCGCCAAGGGCAAGAGTGGAGCAGGAGAGAAGGGCCCTGGCAGGCCAACAGGCTCGAAGAAGAAAAATGAGCCAGAAGATGAGGAGGAGGAGGAAGAGGAGGAAGAAGACGAGGACGACCAGGAGGAGGATGAAGATGAGGAGTCAATGGCTGTCCTGTGATGGTGCGCCTGGCGGGTGCATGCGTGCTCAGGCGGCTGTTTTGCTAAGAATGTGAATTCAAGTGCAGCTCAATATTAGCTTCAGTATAAAAACTGTACAGATTTTTGTATAGCTGATAAAGATTCTTTGTAGAGAAAATACTTTTTTTAAAATGCAGGTTTGTAGCTTTTTGAGGGGCTACTACATACAGCTAGATTTTAAAGCTTCTGATGTTGAATGTTTCTAAATATTTAATGGTTTCTTTAATTTCTTGACTTGTGTTTGGTAGCACAGAAAACTTGTAGGAATTAGTATGGATAGAAAATTTTGGGTTGTTTAGAATGTTTTATTTTGTTTTTTTTTTAATTTTGTAATAAAATTGTGTATATTAAAAATAATAAAAAATAAATAAAGAAAAACTACAGACACTAACAAATAAAATTGAAGGAGATACACATACATGGAAAGAGACCCCAAGTTTATGAATCAGAAGAAAGTGTCAAAAGGCCAAGAGCCATCTACCAATTAACAGCACACCCTGTGAGAATTCTGACAACCCTTTCACAGATCCAGAATAAATAATTTGAAAACATCACAGAAGCACAACCCTGGGCCGTTCAAGGCAACCCTGAGAAAGGACTAAACTGGAGGCACCGGCTTCTCGTCTTCAAATCCAAAGCTGACATCATCCGGGAGGCAGGACGGGTCACCTGTCACTGGCCATGCCCTCCTGCTGGGCCGCCTCTGAGTCTCCCACCGTTCTGTCCGGCCCCCTGGTCTTGGCCTCTGGTGACCTCACAAGCCCACTTCTGACACAGGATGCTGTAAGTTTTGCAAAGCGGTGCCACAGGAGGGTCCGACCTCAACCTAGGATGAATGAGCATCGGAAACTGGGGCCCACAGCAGACTTGCCCACAGGAAAGAGCACAGTGGCGATGGGAAGCTGGGAGGGCCTCGCACATCAACCACTCGCTGAGATTTACTGCAGGCGGCTGCCACTGAGCAGCCCACAGGCTCAAGGGGCACCATCTCGAGGAGCAGGTCACATGGTCACTGAGGGCCTGGAAAGTGTTCAGGGCCGGAGGGAGCAGTAGGAGGGTGAAATAGCTGAGTGCTGCAGGCCCTGTGTCTGTCTGTCTGTCTGTCTGGGTGTCAGAGAAGTCAGAATTTTGAAAATCAGAGTTTTCAGAGAATCAAGTACATCCCTGCACTGGCACGTCTTAGGGCCCCACATATGTCAAGCTCAGTGCCCTCTCGGGGTTCCACGCTCTGTGGTTTTAGACAAACCCACTTGGCCTTAGTCAGCATCCTAATATTACAGGAGGCCCACAGAGCTCTCTGCTCCCCTTTTCTCCCCCCCTCCCCCACCCACCCCGGCCTTTTGATTGTCTTGGTAGTTTTGCTGTTGCAGTATGTCACGGAGTGAAAACAAGCTGGACACACGAACTTCCCGGCCTCTGAGCCTCCCTAGCTCCTCTGCCCCTGCTAAGGACAGCTCGCCCCTCCCACGCTAAGCCGCCCCATGGTCTGCCTGGCCTCAGGCCTGTCCTCTGGGACCCAGGCCTTTGCATGTAGGCTTGTCTCCATGGAAACGCCTCTGCCTCCCCTGCCTGCTGCAGCAGGGTTCGCCAGCCCAGACATGAACACCCTCTCCTAGCGTGCGTTCAGAGTCCTTGTACTAGTTCTTTGTTTTCCCATGTACGTCATTCTTTAGTTTGCATTTTAACTCATATGAAATCACTAGTTTTGTAGTCAGACAACTTCTCATTTCACGTGGATTAAAACATTCCAGTAACAGTCTCCACTAAATAAATCCTTTCTTAAACTAAATGAGCACATATAACACTTGCGAATTATTTTACAAGAGAATCCAAGATTTTAAAAATTCATTAATGTTCAGCTGTGGCCTTAATGCGCAGTGCACATGTGTTCACTCCAAAGAGAGGTTCTGAGGTCATGGGGGCTTCAGTGTCACTGGGGTTCTGGGGTCACGGGGGGTCCATGGGTCACTGGAGTTCAGGGGTCATTTGGGTGCAGGGGGTCACTGGGGTTGTGATGTCACTGGGGCTCAGGTGTCACTGGGGCACTGGGGTTCTGGGGTCTTTGGAGTGCAGAAGTCACTGGAGTTCAGAGGTTGGGGCTGCTGTGGTCACTACTGCTCAGGGCTCACTGGGGTTCAGGACCCACACCTGACAAGTTCCTTTCTTACTGGCCCTTGGTGACCATGCAGGACACTGTGCTGACCCCAGTGACACTGGAGTCCCCATGACCTCAGAACCTCTCTTTAGAGTGAACATGTGTGCACTGTGCATTAAGGCCACACTGAATATTAATGAATTTTTAAAATCTCACGACACCGACACCACCCTCGGGCCTGTCACCACCAAGGCAAACAAGTATCTCCAATGTAAGGACAACTCCTGGGTGTGTCCCCCGGCGGGAACCACAAATAAGCCACATTCAGATGCATGCAGGCCCGATGCAACACCAGCCCAGAGACAGCCCAGCAATGGCGACCCCGGGCGCACGCAGGCCAGGCTGGCCAAGGAGAGACACACCCATCAGGCACGCAGTTCGGCTCAGGCAGTGTGAGGCTGAGGCAACAGTGCGGGGGTGACACAGGGATTTCTAATATGACAGAAACATTCCCCGTCCCAAGGCGCCTGCTCCATCCTGCTGCCCTCTGGTTCTGCTGCCCTTCTCATCTCTCCCACTGTTCCTCCCCGTGCTCCTTCCTTCCTGTCTGTTTATCCCTCCTCCTGCCCCCCTCCCCCACCAGGCCCTAGAAGGGTGCAAAGGGGGTGGTGGTGACTTTCCAGCTCCCTGTGACCAGGACTTATCTGTGGCTCTGAGGGAGCCACACCCGGTCCCTGTGGTGGTCAGGGGAGGTGATTGGGCCTAATGAGGGAGACCAGGTCCTGTTCACGAAATCCCCTAGGGCCCCCGATGGTGCTGCTGACTCAGGAGGCTCATTACTGGGGATGCCGCTGAGAATTCCACGGGGACAAGCGACACCAGGGCCCCTCGGGTGAGGTCCCTGAGGAAGGGGAGCCGGGGACGGTGTCAGGGCCTGAGGGGGCAGCAGGGGACGGAGATAATGAGCCCTGGGGCCCGTCTTTGGAGTCAGCGAGCTGGAGGCCTGGACCCCAGACGTCAGAGGCCAGCACAGCAGAGGGCAGCGGGTGACCAGGCCATCGAGAGAGGTTTGCGTTTCCTCCCATCTCTGTGACGGCGAGTTTTGTGGGAAGCAACTTCTGGGTCAATGTGTGCGTCACACCAGACTGGAAGTGACTGTCAAATCAGGTGGAGAAGTTCCCCTTATAATTAAATGTTTTATATTCAGTATAAATATATATTTCATTGAACTGCATTTCAAAGTGTTAGCATTTCAATATGAACAACTGACATTACTTTGTTGTCCTACAAAAGGGAATTTTATTTGTTCTCTTTTGAGGTAACATTGTTTTACAATGAAGTATCGTTTCAAAATGCATTTTGCATTTCAGAGGAGCAGTAGTTAAAATATTCATCTTATAAATGAAAGCTAATATTTAAACCTGCACAGTTAAATTTCACGATGCCATATTTTCCGTGATGAATTTCAAAGAGGGAAAATATTTTTTTTACTTTCTTCAACTAAGGAGTTATGCAGCTTAGGTTTTTAATATATTTGTGATCATATAATATTTTAATTATGGTATATCTGACAATTACTGTTCATAGCCATGATATTTCAGCATTGAGAACGTTGAGATGAAAGTGCATTACATGTTCAATAACTCACACGTGCGAGAGCTATTTAGGAAGCAGTGAGGAAGAATCTTAAGAGGAACTTAAAATTCACACTAGTAGTTTAAAAGGGAAAGCTTCACATGTTCATCACCAGAATATAACACAATCGTGAGTCACATAGAAATTCATAAATTTTTAAGGTGATAAATATTGATTTTTTTCTTTCACATTGAAGTGATAGACACGTGTAGAAATCAGCCTAACATGGATGTAAACATTTTATCTGACTCCACACAGCAACACAGCTATATAAAATATAATTGTATCAATATAAATATTATTTTAAGTCACTGTAAAGGTTTTGGCAGAGGGCACAAAACAGCAGGTTCTGAATTTATTTTCTTGTTTCCATTATAATAGCAAAAATTGTTCCTCTAGTCTCATACAATAATTACATAGAACCACATTCTCCTAAAAATCCTGCCTCACCAGGGCCTCCCATCCGTCATCCCATGGAGGGGGCAGAGGATGAGATTGAGGGGAGGAGAGTGGGCAGGGCTGCCCCGTGTCCAGACGTCCCCACTCACGCACGGGCCTGGGGTGAGGAACAAACCTGCACACGGGGAACCCGGGTCCCTGGGACCGGCAGGGACAGCCACACGCACAGACCGTCAGACCGTCAGGCTCAGCTCCGGAGCGGCCTCCTCCCTGCACAGATGTGCATGAGTCTGAGGGGGACAGAGGGGCCGGGAGGGACCCAGGGGTGGACGAGCCCATCCTGCAGGAGGGATGTGTGGGTGTGACCCAGGAGGAGACTCTGCGGGAAACGTGGTCTCTGGGTCCTCAGATGTGGGGAGTCAGGTGCACGGAGATGAGGAGATGAGGAGACTGACCAGGAGTCAGCAGTGAGGCCACAGGGGCAGGAATCTGTGCCACAGAGAAGGTGTCAGGACACACGGCACTGGGATGCTGAGCCCAGATCATTTAGTTCCATGACAGTGCCGGGTCCTGGGAAGCAGGAAAACAGGGACCTGCATATCCCATCTCCCCACACATCTGTCACTGTGGGGCCTCCCCAGACCAGGGCTCTGCTGGAGGAGCAGGGACAGGCTCTCCAGGGTGTGGAGGGGCTGTGCATGGTCATGTGTCCTCTGGGACTGTGCCCTGGACAACCTCTGGGAGGTGTGCTGGGCTGAGATGCTGGGGCCTGGGCAGGAGGTAGGAGAGCAGATTGGGACAGTGGGGAGTGGCTGTTAGTCTGGCTATGAGATCAACCATAGCATAATCCC